ATGTGTTTTTAGTCTTGATTTAAAGGAACTCAGGCTTACAGCACTATTACAGTTTTCTGGAAGTTAAACTGAGTGTATTTACCCTTAATTTGAGTAGGTAAATGAGATGATTTGCCCATTGGATGAATGTTTAGAGTCTTAAAATAAGATAATTAGATAAATTGCACTTGAAATAAGACAATGCAATGGTTTTTTTCTTATTTTAAATGTAAATTGTCTTGTTCCATTTGCAAAATGTCTCTTTAACCTCCTCAATTCAGGAAAAAATGCGTTTATTTTAAGAAAAATGACTTATTTAGATTTTTTCCAGAGTAAATGACCAACATTTTTGGAAATGCGAAGCTTAAACACTGCAAAAACGGTCTAGAAATAAGTAAAAATTTGTTAAATTAAGAATATTTACCCTTCATTTTAGTAGGTAAATGGCATCATTTGCCAATGGAATTGGTATTTTTACTCTTAAAATAAGATATCTAGATAAAATGCACTTCAAATAAGACAATATAAATGCGTTTTCTTATTTTTTAGTTTAAGAAAAAAATGACTTATTTAGATTTCCATTTTTTTTTGCAGTGAAAGCCTTAAATAAGCAAACTTCTACAGAACGAAAACAGGCCTAAGATGCAAAAACTGTTTTTTTTTTTTAAAGACGTAGACATAATTAAAATCTAAAATAAACAAATAAAAAACTTTTCACCTTATAAATTAAACTTATGACCTTCTTTATGGTCCTTTAGTTTAATCACTGACCTACAGCAGAAACTGTTAAATAGAAGAATGTGATTTTGGCTGGAAGATTAGAAACATTAAACTCTGGTCCTGATTTTTACACTTTTTTATATAAAGTTTTAGGAAAATTAAATAAAAATAAATAAAGCCATGGAAATGTTTTAGTTAATCATTAAAGTTTGCTTATTTCAGCTTTAAAATGAAAACCAGTGAACGGCAAAGAAAACCGAACCTTCTGGGTTTTTACTGTTTTTTTTAAATCGGAGGAAATGAAACACAGACTTTCAGCTCGACTTTCGCAGCTGCTTCATTTTTTTAACGTTTCTTTCGACCATAAATCCGTCTACACCACATAAAGTCTCCTCCAGGCTCCTGCCAACAATTAGAGCTGGATCTAAACCTTGGATTTTCTCACAGCTGCTCGGAAAACTTGCGAGAGAAAAAGAAAAACAAAGTGTTTCTTAGTATAAATTCAAACCAGATATAATCTAAATCATTGTCTTTGGATTATTTTTCCTTATTGAAAGATTTAAGCTGTTATCATCTAGCCCTGACGTGAAATAAAGTTAACATTTTCCCTCTAGATAAAATGCTTACTCTATTTTTTTCCAGTATTTATTTATTTTTTTACCACAATGATTTAAACTTCTAGAAAATAAATGTATTAAAAAAAAAGTTTTTATTCTATCAATCAGCTGCTTTGCTGCTTTAACAATGACTAAAAACAGTAGGTACAATTTTATTTTATTTTATTTTTGCTTTTCTTACTCTTTACGACATCAAGTCCTGCAAAAAGTAAAAGCAAATTTTAAGTCTCAGCTTTTTTATTCTTTTTTTTTTATTTTTTGTCATCTAACTTTTACTCTCCAGTTTTCTCCTCTTTCTATTTTAAACACCCAGACTTCAAAATTACCAATAAAATATCCAGAATCTACAAATAATATCGTATTTTACAAAAATTATTTATGCAATGACTCAAAAATTAGAAATGAGATTTAAAAAAAACAAACTAAATTTAATCTAAGCTTCAAATCAAACAGAGATTCTTTAGCATCTTGTTTCATCAGGTACATATTAATAAAAAAATGTATTCAAACAATGAAAATAAAATAGAGTTCATGA